TGTGAAAGATGGAAGGGAACAAATTGTCAGACTGTCTTCGACGGTCTCAGCTACTATAGCAGAAGATTGAAATACTTTGCCTGACCCAGAACATGAGAAGGGTTTTGCTAAATCACTCCTTGAAGTTGGTCATGGAAGAAATACCAATGCAGTACAGAATATTGTCCTTCCAGCTATTATGGAGCTCCCAGAAAATACTGTTGAATCCCTTATTGACACAATTTATTCAGGCATATCTGCTCCTGGCTTAGCTTTGGACTGGCAGCAAGACAAATATTTCTTTAAGCACACAATTATCTCAGCACGCAATGATGGTGTTGACGGAATCTATCAAGTACTGCTTGACAAATTTCCTGGGGAGGAAAGAGTCTTTTACGGTGCTGATTCTATGGTGACAGAGCAAGGAGTTGACAGTGGTCTCCAATACTCCATCGAGTACCTCAATTCAATCAAGGCATCGGCATTGCCACTTGCAAAAATTGACACTCAAAGCTGGATCTCTAATCATGGTCCCTCGAAACCTTGATCCTGCAAATGGTCTGTGCAATGGCTCTTAAGGGATTTTGACCAAAATGTCAGCCCATGTGTTAAAGATCCAGCTTATTGGTGGGGAGCATGATTGGAAAACAGCATTTATTCCATGTATCACAATTATTCCTGCTCCAGAACAGCTTGCCTTTTCCATCAAGCATCATCAATTCCCTGTTTGCCTTGAATTTTCCATGACCATAAATAAATCCCAGGGCCAATGTTCACCACATTGGTCTGGATCTTCACACAAATGTCTCGGTGCACTTCCAGCCAATGCATTAAGGCTCCATTCAAGCTCAACACCACTGTCACAAATAACATTGTATACCCAGAAGTACTGCTTTGATTATTTGTAAGTCCCACGTGCAAACCAACATGAAGCTCAACTAATGCCTATTTCCAGTAGTGTCCTGCTTAAATAGTTTATGTGTTGGAGAGTCTATGGTTTTTTTACTTCGAGTGACACTACTGAGATTCAGCGGAGCCACCCCCTGGGGTTTGGGGCAGAGCCCCAACAAGCTGTCGACCCCGGGGCGTAGGTACCCGGAGGCACGGGTTGTAAAGCTTGTTTGACATAGTAGCCCAAAATTTCCCTTGTGCTGAGCACGTGATCCAGGCCATGTGGGGTATGGATGGTCTAGAGAGACCGTGGGGATTGGGCAGAGAGCACCGCCCCTCACTTAGTCATTTTTTCTCTTTCCTCCCTCATCGTCTCGCCCCTCGTGTCCGTCTTTTCGTGTCCGCCTTCGTCTTCTCTCGCTCGTCCATCAGTAGCAGATTTTTCCTACCTTTTCCGACCCTCCTTTTGTCACTTCCCCCGATTTTACTTCTTCGGCCCCATTTAAACACCGGTGATGACCCAGACCACCGAGGAACAGTTCGCCGCTGCCGCGAAGGAGACGGCGGACCTGAAGGCATCGCTGGCAACAATGACGGCCATGTTGACCAGCTTGCACGGTGAGATAGCAAAGCGGCCCGCTGCAAATCCCCTCGAGCAGTTGATGGGCCTGCCTGCAGACCCTCTGGCATTCCTGCCCGGTGCGAACGGTGCGTATCCCGTTCTCATTTCCACCTTTTTGCGCCCCCACCTGCTTCCCGACGTCATTGCCCAAATTGGCAAGTTCGAGTTCCCGCATACCCATTTGGGCCGTCTTCTCAAGTCGGCATCCGCTCCGCCTCCGGAGGGGCTCCTTCTGGTGTCGGGGCCGAATGGAGAGGCCAGGTTTGTGGCTCCCACTCCCGTGGCGGGCACTTCGGTTCTCCTTCGGGAAGTGCCCAATATCCTCCTTTTGCGGAGGCATGGATGATTTTTCTGTCCGTCCTGCAAAATCAGTGCCTCATGCTTCCCATTGTGCAGGCTCTTTCCGCACACCTCAGCAACATAATTACTTATTCCCGGGTGTACTCCTGGCCCACGGTGCTCGATTATCACGTCGCTTTCATGCAGGCCCGCGCTCTAGACCCCTTTTTCAGCCCCATCAACTGGACGAGGAGTGAACCCCACCTTCAGACCCTTCATCTCCTCACTCCTAGTATGCTGGCCACTGTAAGCACCATGGCCGTGGCCGTACCTGCTGGCCCTTCGTCTGCTAGCCCCTCGTCCGCCGGCCCCTGGCCCACTGGTCCCTCTTCTGTGGAGTGTGCCAGGATGGCTGCCCAGATTTGTTACAACTACAATGGTATCGGTTGTGCGGGCCCTCTGATCTGCTATCGCCACCATGTTTGTCGGACATGTGGGGGCCTGCATGCGGCCACAACGTGTCAGGTGGCGACACCGTCTGACCTGGCGGTTGCACAGAGCGTTTGAAGTGGCGCTGGGGGTGGTGCGCAAGTGCAATTGTCTGGGCCGGGACTCTCTTCACACTTGCCCACCCCCTTCTTGGTGTCACTTTGTGATGCCGCACTTCAACGGCCTGTCGCCAGTTTACCAGTATCCCCGAATGTAGCTCGGTTTGTTACGCATCAGAATAGCCCCTCTGATGTCGTGCTTCAAACACCAGGCCAGCGAGGGGGAGAGGTCGGACCCTCCCCTCGCTCTGCGAGGAGGAAAGTCTTTCCACTCCCCTCATACATTCTCAATCTTGGTCCTAACTCACTTTTACCCATTCTGTTAAAGCTTTTAAATCCCCCGCCTCCACCACCACCCCGCCCTAATACTTTCCTCCACTTCCCCCTCACCACGCCACACTCTCAACCCATGCCCCTTATAGAACTTAGACAGGATGCTTGGCGCTCAGCGCTCCGGTCCTATCCAGACCGTTATTTTGCGGACTCACTCGCTACTGCTATTAAATACGGTGTCCATCTTGGCGTCGATAATGTAAATATAATCTGGCATTCTACTTTCACACCTCCCCCTCTACCATCAGCCCTCGATTCCGACTGCTGAGAACCCAATCGCTGATGCTTTATCTTGTTTTCAGTGGCTGAACCTTGCCCGACTCCGGCCTCACTGGGTGCTCCCTCACCGGAGTGGCTTACGGCCCACTCGGATCTCCACCCAACTGTTGTGGAGCTCTTGTGGTATGGACTCCGCGAGTCCACCCGTTCCAAGTACGATGGTCATGTCGAAATGTTCTGCCGGTTTGCCCGGGAGCAGGGTTTTACTCGTGCCAATGGCAGTGTGCTCCCAGCAGATGGGCCCGCTGTGCAGCTCTTCATTGCCACTAAAGCTTCCATCGTACAGCCCGCCACTCTCTCGCAGTACCTCACGAGCCTTTGTACCATCCATATGGAGCACGGATGGTCCGTTGAGGCTCTTAACAGCCCGATTCTCAAGCGTCTTGTGGCTGCCGCAGAACGACGTCATGGGACCAAGGCCTGGAAAGCCCACCGTGCTATCACCCGTGAGATTCTCACAGACATCTTTGCACAACTCCCTGACGACCATGATGGGAGGATGCTCAAGGTGTTGGATGTAGAATCTCAGATGGGTCGCAGATGGGAGCCAAAAAGGCAGGTCTCAGATGGGTCTCAGATGGGGAGGCGAAAAGCCCAGATCCATTGTGCTCTAGCTACATTTATAGGTAAGAGAACAATAAACAAGGTAGAACAATAAGAATGTGATCAGTATCAGTAAAGACAATAGAATAATAAAGGGAAGGAAACAATAAGGGAAGATCTGTACCACAACAATAAGATCAGTATCAAGGAGAAAGAATCACATGAACATCCGAGCCAAACACCAGACTCCAACACAAGGCTGCATTCACCCTCGCCTTCTCTGCATTTATGTGCTGTGGGGAGTTCACCATCGCTGATGGTGCCGTGTTTGACCCCTCCATTAATCTCATGGAGGCTTGCATCTCCCAGGTTACTGATGAGTCAATGCTCTGCGACATCCTAGCCAGCAAAACTGACGCCGGGCGGCGAGGTGCCCGTGTTCTCATTGGGGCTGCACCCGGGGCTCCCACTTGCGCTGTCGCACATCACCGAGCATACCACCAACTTCACCCATCCACGTCGCCTTTTGCACCGCTATTTGTCACTTCCACCTGTTATATACCGAGCCATAGCTGTAGTATAAAGTAAAAAAACCATGGCGCTAGCCAACAAAATTTTCTTATAAGTTCACGGTCCTACCCAACCAGTTGGCTACGGCCATATTATGGGTTTTAGGGCCCTCAGGGGCTTCCGGGCCCTCTCCCACGCTGCAGGGGTGCTTTGCACGTATTTACGCTCTGATTGAGACCTTCAAATTTTGGTATATTTGGGGCGGGAATATTAGGGAAATTGATGGCTACCCAGAAACCCAATCCGGCGCCTCCCCCACCCCTTCCTCAAATTTCCCACCCTCCACTGCTTCCGTGTCGCACCGGATCTACTACGGCATTACTGCAACCGGCATCCTCCGTTTATATTGGGGCTTTCTGCTCGGCTTGCACCTTGCCGTACTTTTCACCCGCTTTCCCCGTAACTTTACAGCAGTGTTTACCACATATTATACTCCAGATTTCCTCCTGCCATCCCTATCCTGCACTGCCCCTCAACGGTCCCTTTTTTGTGTCTTTGTTTACATCTATTGGTTTCCCATCCTCCCCGGGCACCTCGGCATTATTGCCTCCATTTCCTCCTGGTTGCTCCTTCCCTTATAGCAATTCACCCCGGACATCCCGACTTTTCCCAATCCCTCAAAACAACCCACTGCTTCCCCCCAGCACCATATTTGCCTTTGTTATATTCCCGTGACTTTACCTTCGCTCCCATTGATCCACATTTCGTGCCCCCCACCAAATTCATCTCATCCGAAGCTGATTCGTTTGCCCTTTGTTCTTATCCTTGGAATGAATCCATACTTGCAATGAGATCTGACTTTTTTTTTTTGAAGAGTGATTTAATCAGGCCCATTATAATTGTTGACAGGTGAATTTTTTTTTTACTTACACTTTCCTACCTACCTATCTTTCCCTACACTTTTTTTCCTTTTCTCCTCAGACGCCTCATCTTGTTCACAACAAACAAAGTCAAAAACCTCTGTAGCTCAAGGTGCTAGCCTGTGAACTGATTTTCGGTTTGCAGGCGTCGTGGGTTCGAATCCCACCGGAGGCATCCTCGACCACGAATCCCTCGAAGGGTTCGTGGGCGGGAGCCTTTTTAAATCTCATCCTTCATTTGACATTTACTCTAAGGCATTTCAAGTTTTGTTTTTTTCACTCAATTTGAATGTCCCAAACCTGCTTCATATTTCCCTATACGGCTACTAAAATTTACGATTAAATTTTTCGTAATATACCGCCATTCCTTCAAGCATCCATGACACATCCCCTACCGCCTCCTCCCAAACAACCTCCCGCTCCACCTCCTCCCGAGCCGCACAACCCCAGAAATACAGGGACGCCACCAGGCTCCATGCCCCGTTGATTCCCCAATGGTAAAGCTTTCCCCACTCCCGCCCGTCCCCACCGACCATTTCCCATCCTCACCCCTCTTTCTCCACTCCGGCTGCAGCGAATCCCACCACGTCTGCCACGCCCTCGCATATGCTTCGCAATCTGACACCTTTGTGCGCCCCGTGCCCCGCTTCCCTCGCCCCGCGGTGATCCAAGCTGTCACTTCTTTCGGCCGACCCTTCTTCGGTAGATTGGTTGGGCCCTGCTCGTACTTCGATGCCGCTTCCAGCTGTATCCACGCCTCAATCACCGCATTGAAATGAGGGCCCAAGTTCACCTCGGTCATGGCCGCGTGTGCGTCCACAAACCATGGTGCAGCTTTGGCGGGGCACGGGGGCGACGGAAACTCCCTTGTCATAGCAGCAGTCGGTCCCATGGTCGCGCTGACATCAGGGGCTGCTGTGCCATGCGAAGGCGATGCCTGCGAGATGTCGGGCATCACGGGCTGCGGGGTTGGCTGGGACGCGGGTGTCACAGGCAGCGTCTGAGATGGTGAGTTATCCAATACCGTGGCCACCGTGGACAAGGGTGACGCGTCCTGTGTCTGGGATGGGGACTGTGTTGGCGCTCTGGCAGTCGTGGTGACTGACGGTGTTGCGGGAGGTGTCCCAGTTGGGATCATGCGTCGCGGAAGAGGACGGGCGGGACGCGCGCGATCGTTGCTAGGGGCTGCAGCCCCATCACCGCCCCTCGCAACCTCCGGCGTATCAATGTCCATGGGATCGTTGTCGGCGTCGGACTCCATGTTGCCACCGCCCACCAGCCGTGTCGACTTCCGCGAGGCCCCCACCGTGCCCTTCTTCGCCCGCGGCTTGTGCACGGTCGGTGCTTTCGCAGGCGGTGCCAGTCCCTCTGCCACCATCCTGAGGCGGAATTCCTCTGCCAGCGCCTTGTTGCGCTGCACATTGCGCTCCCGTGCCTGCATGTAGGAGGGGCCACTCGTGTCGAGCGCGAGGTCGTCGGATGGGACGGGAGCGAGGGGTGTGCGCTTTGTTTTGACCGAGTTTTTGGTGGCCTTCGTGTTCTTCTTCGACTTCTCGCCCCTCTCCTTCTCGACCCGCACTTTGTCAGTCTTAGCCCTCTTTCGCACGCGTTTCGCCTCCTCCTCATCCTCCTCGTTAGAGTCCGAGTCCGAATCTGAGTCTGAGTCTGAGTCCGAGTCCGAGTCCAAGTCCGAGCTGTCATCCTCGTCGTCATTGTCGTTCTCGTCAGTGCCCCCCCCTCCTGCGCCCTCTCCATCGTCTGGCTGGGTGATCGTGTATTTGGCCTGGTCAAGCTTGGCGACTAACGTATCTGGCAGTGCGGCCGCCGCACAGTCATCAACCGCTTCGAAAAAAAAACTTTTAGCCCCATGACTACATCAGATTGAAGCTTACTTACTGAATGAAGCACGTAGATATTCCTTCATGAAATCAAGCACGTCCTTGTTAAATCTCTTCTTATCCCACTGGGGGAAGTGCTTCCCCACCGACATCTTGTCGCGGCCATACGAAACACTAGTAGCCGAAAAAAATGTGTCAGTTGTGCGGCTAGAATTAGAATCATAAAACATACTGCATCGTTCTCAGCTCCCCGCCATACTTCGGCATTGGCCCTCCCAAGATCAGCACGGAGTGCATCCCTGTACACTCCTGCAGCCTGCGCAGGATTGGTGCCACGAACTCCGAGACGCGGTCGATACATCTGCCAGAAATCATCTTCAGTGACGCCCCAATTACTTAACTTTCACTTACCCTTGACGATCTGCTGGAAATTGCGACGTGGGCTCCTTCATTACCTTCTCGTACTTCTCCTTGGCCTCCTTAGCGTCCGCCGTTGCCCGCGTCCCCAGCGCCAACCTCTCTGCGGGGGGAAGTTCCGCAAAAAGTCGGCGTGCCACTCCTGCACGGAAACCCGCCTTGGGCTTTTTCGGGAGGGTTAGATCACTGGCATTTTGTTCTCGGTGGATGGCCCATTCTTCAAGGACGACCGGTGCGATTTTCTCCTGGTAGGATTCGTGCATGTATTGCTGAAAAGCCTGCCGTGCCTTAGGCGGTTTCGAGATCCCAGAAAGCTTGGCGAGCAATACGGAATAGGGATCCGTGGTAGGGTTACGTCCTCCAGATGTCTTGCAGTTTTTGCGAACACGGTATTTCAGCCATCGCCGAATGCACTGGCGGAAGGTGAGCTCGCCGTCATTACATGGTCACGTGTGACTTACGGCGTTAAGCAGGTCAATTCACGCTCGCTTTTGTTTCTCCTCTGGCTCGGGCAAGACCTCCTTCGCGACAATGGCCTTGGGGTCGAATGGCGCCAGAACCGGTTCTTCGTGGTCTGGAAGCTTCCAGTCGACTCGGTTGTGGAACTCGTTGCAGATACGCTTCCAGCAAGCGCGCTCCTCGCGGTGGTCTTTCTTGTCCAATACCTTCGCGTACTCCTCAAGATGTGGTGCCAGAATTGACTCCCGGGCGCCCTCGGCCTACAACTTCAAATTCTTCTTGCTTTCTTTGGGAACTCGGGGCGTTTGGCGTGCACGTTTGCCCATCTGGATTCGAGGCTTCAAAACCTCTTTGGCGCTGGTAGGCATCGGACCACTCACTGCAAAACTATATTCAAGGCTTGTAAGTTGCTTGTTGATGGCGTTGTCTCAGCAATTGAGGTGTTTGTTCGCAGTTTGTTGATTAAACAACTCACAAGTTTCAATGCCGGCCGCGGAGTTCCAATTCCCTGGGTATAAAAGCCTTAAGCGGTACGCCCTAACCCGCACCCCTCTTTCTTTCGTTCCCCCATCTTCACCACCATGCAGACTTTCCCTACCGTTGCTCCTGCAAACGAGGCTCCCCCCTCGATTCCAGCAGCAACAATGACTCTCGAGCAGCAACGCAACGGTACGTGCCCTCATACTTGTGCTCACCCATTCTCACTCCTTCCCCCATAGCCAATGCCACTGTGCTGTCCGCCGCCATGGCGTCCCTTGCTCCCGGTAAGCATGCTCCACATCTCGACTTGCTTCTATCTGACACTACCTCGCAGGTTCCCAGGGAGCCCCCGTCGCCGCTGCCACTACTCCCACTGAGCTGGCTCCCACTGTTGATGCTGCCGCCATCGACGTCGCCATGGCCGGCGCCAACGCCCAGCCACTGTCCCCCGCGCCCAGCCACTGTCCCCTGCGCCCACGCCCTCTGGTTTCCAGACACGCGGTCCCTGGGTGGCAGGCACCTTGTACCTCGTTGTCCCCACCGCACCCCTCATGATTGTCCACGAGGACCCTGTTGCTGACGGTGCCGATGGCCCGCTTTGGTACTGCATCACCAAAGGTACCTATGTCGGTGTCCACACGAGCCATGCATTGGCTCTCACGGCGGTCCAAGGAGTTGGCAGTAGTGCCATGAAGAGCTACAAGACTCAGGCCTTGGCCGTCGCTGCCTTCAACGAGATGCTCGCGTATCGCATGGTTGCCATTCGCTAATTTGCAAGTGCTCGCTTCACCTCTTGTTCCTGTATTAATTCGTCATTTTTTTCAGCTTCTTTCCGCGTGTCGCAAGGGCCATCACTGTAGTCTCAACTGTCTCGTAGCTCATGTGTCTTATCGTTTATCCCTTTGTCGCGTATCTTCAATGTTGAATCCGAATCGGGACAGTATTTAGATCTTGAGATTCTGTCAATGAACTTCGATGATCGATCAATTAGAAGCGGAACTAAAGGGAGACAGATTTGCATCTTCTTTTCAACTGTCATTTTTGAGCGACCGCGTGTGAAGAATATCTGAAATGGGGTGCAACCTCGTGGCAATGTGGACCCACCCATCATGTGAACTCATGGGACAACTTGATACCACCATGACCAGCTGACTTGGACCATGGTCGACGCTATCCCTCGTAACGCTCTTCAAGCTCTCCAATCCCTCGAGCCCTGGGGCAAACCAAACCGCACCTCCAATCTCCCCTCCCCCCAACTGTTCCAAATTGTACTCATACCAGCCCCGACGCCCAGGCGATGTTGCGGGCCCCGGTTGCCTTAGAAAATCTGACCTTCTGATCCTTCTGATGGCTCCGGATAATTGTTCGCCACAGTTTGAGCCGGCCGAGGCTCTGAGTTTGGGGTTTTCAGTACCTTTCGCAGTTTTTCGGTCTGCTTCTGTTTGTCCTTCCCTTTCCGCCCCCCAATGACTGGCCCCGACAGCTCCCCCAATTACGACGACGCTGAGATCCTCGCTCTCATCGCGAGCATCGATCTCGTCAACATCAATCCTCCCTCCCCTGCTCCACCTCCTCCCCGAACTCCACCACCAACGGTGCACTGCCGCACCATAGAACACCACACATTCCCCAGCATTCCCGGCCGCACCCATGTCAATCGACCACTTGGCGCACCACAGACGCCTTCTCGTAGTGCCGTCCCAAAGTCCTACATCATTGACTCACCGACCACGCTGACTTCCAGCGAAGACTGGCCAGTCCCCGTTGCTCACTCCTCCATGTTGAATGTTAACTGTATTCCAGGGCTACTGCTGGAGTCGCCACTCAAGGCGTTCCCAATGCCCATGTTCGCGCTGTAGGTGGGGATAAGAAGAAGAAGAGTCACTCTCAGAAAGTGGCATTTGTGGTTTTCTGCGGTCTTGATGTCGGGGTGTTCCTCTCATGGTGAGTCCCCCTACTTTACTCCACTGTTTCTGTAGCT